AAATCTCCTAGGAAATGAGGAACCTGCCATTTTAACCCCAAGGGGCACCATCAAACCTCAAATGCCCATATGACTGTTTAGTCAACAGCTTTAAAGATAACAGGTACTGAGCAATTCCTCCAGGAAGGTCCCAGTTACTCTTTATATCTGGAATGATATTAATTCACCTAAGCCAAAGAACATCCTAATTCCCCGCCTCAGCTCCACCCAGGAAGCACACCCACTGGCTTGGCTGTCAAGAGCAGGAGGTTTCACAAAAGGAATTTCCCTCTATCTACAGTGATGTGTTCTATAGAATAGGTTAAAAGGTTCTATTCTATCTAAAAATAGCCCCAGTACAGGAGTGGGCAAAAGTTCTCAAAAGGGATAATTATAAAAGGAAAACCTGGGCGAAGAGTGACACAATCTCTAAATAGTGACACTGCATCTAACCTGGGAGATCTAGAGAAAAGCCGAGATATCCCCGAGGTAGAGCTTTGACAGAAGACAGCTCACCAATTACCTTAGAGAGGTACAGCTCGGGCAGGTGAGGGAGAGCGGTAGGAAAGCGGGCAGCGAGGTGGTGGGAGAAGGGAGCTCTGGTACCCTGCTGGCCTGCTGTGCCTGTGCCTCTCTCTCCTGGTAACAGGGCATCTGGGCTTAAAGCTCTTGGTTGCAGATTACACAGAAGAACCACTGTATTTTATTAAAGTTTATCATCGTCCACTCCTACTTATGTCTACTGGACCCTGCGAGTAATATTCCCAGTACTGATTCTGTCCTCAAAAAGTGGCTGAAGACAATAGCTTCCCAAGTGGTTCTTTCTGGATGTAGTTATATCATCCTCCTATTTTAGGTAAGAAAAGTTCTTTTCATCCAGCTACTGATGAAAAATTCCGAACCTGCTGAAGCCTAAATAAACAAGCTCTTCTATAACTGGGAGATCATATAAAGGTATTATTCCAGAGGAACTCAGCCACCTCCTGAAGTGGTCATGCCAGCTTCCAGCTCTGCTGATCAAAGGAACTAGGAGGCCATGCTGGAAATTCTGCTCTGGTGAAACCTCAGCCCTCAGGCTGGTAGCGAGGCTGGCAGGACTCCAGCCAGGAGATCAAAGATGAGGTTCAGGACTCCATAGCACTAGTGAGACAGGCTAAATCCAGACCAAGTGACAGGGGTGTCCCACCTTTGCTGATGGCAATAGGTGCTGCGGGGTGGAGGCCCACAGGAGAATAAGTGAGAGTTTGGGGAGGAAAAGAAGGGAACAAATCAGGTCAGTAATCCGGGTGGGGTGAGGGGAGAACAGATCCACCCAGTTTGGTGGGAAAAGTGCATCTGATTTCAGGGAGAACTCAGTCAAGCTTCCAGATCCCCAACTTACTAGTTCAGCTGAGTTACCACTGATCTTTTCCTCACTTGAGAGTCTATAGTTATGCAAACATTGGATTTGGAGGCAGTTCACAGCAATCTGCTGCTTGGGGCCAAGCCAATAAATGCCACAGCTTTTAAAACACTCTTTTTTGGATTCGTATGCACTTTGCTTTGGAGAGGTCAGGCAACACTGGAGATACAAGTGAGCACTAGATGGGCATTTGTCCCACAAGTTAGTAACAAGCAGAGAAATGCAGCTGACCTGTGTGGCTGTCCTCTTTAACAGGTTCTCCAAAAAGTACACTGTGGGTATAAAAACCCTCTCCTGGGTCCCTCAGCTGGAAATACAGACACCTGATTTGAAAGAGCTGCCTGGCTTCTCGGAAACAATCGATGTTAGTAGGGGTTGGGGAAAGGGTTGGTAGCCTGAGTAAATATGAGTAAATACACTTGTAAACCACTTGCTAATGTGATTCAGGAATCCACAGAGTTACATGGGTAGTGACATCCTAGCTGTCACTTGCCTGTCTTTCTTGTGTCTCTGCTTAAGACCAGAGATCTGGATACACATGAAAACAAGGCCATTTGATGAATCTGGAAAGCAGACTGAGTTAATTCTGACTGCAGTACTCAGCCTGCAATTTTACCAATCCTACAGTACTCTCTTGTATCACATAAGGTAAAAATGCAGGCTGCTACCAAACCCCAAACTCATCTATGGCTCCATCAAGTTCATGAGAGTCAGCTCTGTGCCAGCCCTGAGACTACATGGCTCTCCAGGGGGTTACATTCTAGGAGGTCAATAGATGATAACAGAGAAGTGAATGAGGGACCATAAAACGGTGGGAAGACAGGAGTGAGTGGGGAGACTGCTAGGAGTAGCCACAACCTACAGAAGGGAGAAAATAAATATTTGCAAACCGTATATCTGATAAAGGGTTAATATAAAAAAATATAATGAACTCCTACAACTCAATAGCAAAAAACCAAAATAATCTCAAAAATAGGCAGCGGATCTGACTAGTTTCTCAAAGACGACATATAAATGACGAGCAAATATATGAAAAGATGCTCAACATCACTCATCATCAGGAAATCCAAATCAAAACCACGAGATATTTCCTCATACCTGTTAGGATGGCTATTACCAAAAAAAACAATAACAAGCGTTGGAAAGGATGTGGAGAAGGGGAACCCCACTGCACTGCTGGTGGGAATGTAAACTGGTGCAACGGTTATGGAAAACAATATTGAGGTTCCTCAAGAAATTAAAAAAAACACTATCATATGATCTAGCAAGTCAATCCCACTTCTAGGTATATATCCAAGGGAAATGAAATCATTCTTAAAGAGATATGTGCATGTCCATGTTCACTGAAGCATTATTCACAATAGCCAAGGCATAAAAACAATCTAAGTGTCTGTCAACGAGTAAATGGATAAAGAAAATGTGGTCTATATATTCAATGGAATATGAATAAGGACATCCTGTTATTTTTGACAACATGGACGGCATTAATGCTAAGTGAAATAAGTCAGACAAAGACTCTCTGTTCTCAGTGTATATTCTCACCTATATGTAGAATCCAAAAAGCCAGACCCCCAGAGAATAGAATGGTGGTTGCCATGTGCTAGGGGATGGGGGAAATAGGGAGATACTGGTCAAATGGTACAAATTTCTAGTTATAAGGTGAATAAGTTATGGGATCTAACGTACAGCATGGTGACCGGAGTTAATACTATTGTATTGTACAGCTGAAAGTTGCTAAGAGAGTATATCTTTTATTACCATACACTCAAAAAAGGTAATTATGTGAGGTGATGTTGGTGTTAACTAATTTTACTGTGGTAATCGGTTCAGAATGTAAGTATCGAATAATCACATTATATACCTTAAACTTACACAATGTTATATCTAAATAAAGCTGGAATAAAAATAAGAGGCTTTCCCTTAAAAAAATTTAAAAAGACGACAAATATCGTCAAGAAAATGACATGACAACCCACAGAATGGGAGAATGTATTTGCAAATTAGATATCTGATAAGGGACTTGTACCTAGAATATATAAAGAAATTTTACAACTTAAGAATGAAGCCTACCAAATTTTAAAATGGGATAAGGATCTGAATAGACATTTTTCCAAAGAATACATACACATGTCAATAAGCACATGAAAAGATGCTCAATACCCTTAATTATCAGAGAAAAGTAAATCAAACTGCAATGAGATACCACTTCATATCCACTAGGATGGCTGTAATAAAAAAGATGGATAACAAGTGTTGGCAAGGATGATGAAGAAACTGGAGCCCTCACACATTTCTGACGGGAATGTGAAATGTTGCAGCTACTTTAGAAAAGTCTAGCGGTTCCTCGAAAGGTTAAGCATAGTTACCACATGAGCCAGAAATTCCACCAATAGGTGTTTACCCAAGAGAAATGAAAACTATGTTCACACTTAAACTTGAATGTACATGAATGTTCATATTCATGATAGCCAAAAGTTAGAAACAACCCAAATGTCCATCAATGGATGGTTAAACAAAATGTTGTATAGCCACACAATGGAATATTACTTGGCCATAAAAAGGCCAAGTTTTACTTAACATAACATATTGTTACATGCCACAATGTGGATGAACACTGGGAAACATTACGCTAAGTGAAAGGAGCCAATCACAAAAGACCATATATTATATAATTCCATTTATATGAAATGTCCACAATAAGCAAATCCATAGAGATAGAAGGTGGATTAGTGGTTGCCAGGAGCTTGGTAGCTTGGTGTGTGTGTGTGTGTGTGTGTGGGGGGGGGTGTTTGAGGAAAATAGGGAGTGACTGCTAATGGGTACAAGGTTTCTTTTAGAGGGCTAAAGGTGTTTTAAAATTGTGGTGATAGCACCACAAGTCTATGAATATGCTATAAACCAGTGAATCTGTATATTTTAAATGGGTGTATTGCATGGTCTGTGAATTAGATCTCAATAAAGCTATAAAAAAATACAGCTTTAATAATAAAACTTCATTAAGTTTTATGATTTTCTAGCAAGGACCACCTGTTTTGCTCCAGAATTTAATATGTTAAAAAAAAAAAAAGGGCTGTGACAAGCCCTAGGGCCTGCCTGCCCCACACCTTGGGCCTTTGCTGTGGGGCACGTCCTCACCACTCACTGCAGCAGTCCAACTGGAAGCTCCCATGCAAGCAGCATGGAACCTGCCACACAGAGAACAGGCTAAGCTGAGTGGCCAGCTGGCCACCTGGAAACTCAGGGCCTGTGTTCTAGCTGCTAGAGCGCCACACTGTGGCCAGCAACATGCACATCCTGCAGCTCCCAATTCCTTCTCTCAAGCCCCAGGGGAACTGGGAATTCAGGACGTCCTGATTTAGGTCAGTAATATGGTGCACATAGTACATGTTCCATAACAGGCATGTTGCATGACAGGGCAGCACCTACGATTCAAAACCCATCAGCATTTTTCCAGCAACTGGTTTTGGGACTGTGGGTATGGAGCTGTGGGAAGCAGGTGTGCCTGCTGGCCAATGGGGCCCAGACAGTGGAGCTGCGGAGCCCCAAGCCCCACTCCTCTCAGGGTCCCACACCCCGGACTCCCGGACCCCAGCAGGGACCCGAGCGGTGGGCAGCCTACCTTGGCGGCTGCGGGGAGCGGGGCTTTGGCTTCTCCTTCTCCTTCTCCCGCTCTTTCTCCCTGTCTCGGTCTCTGTGCTGTCTGTCCTTCTCGTCCCGCTTGGCTCGCTCTCGCTCCCACTCCTCTTTCCTCCGCTGCCGCTCCTTGTCTCGCTCGCGCTCCCGCTCCCGCTCGCGCTCCCGCTGCCGGCGCTCCCGCTCTCGGTCTCGCTCCCGCTCCCGCTCGCGCTCGCGCTGTCTGTTCTCTCGCTCTCGTTCCCTTTCCCTTTCCTTTGTTGAAAAGCCAAACACACACACACCAGCTGCAATTTAAACACTTGTAATGAAAAGCACAGAGAAAATGCAACAGAGCAAGCCAATAAAGATTAGGGACAATCTTTGGTGTTAATTTTGTTTCAAAGTTTCTCCTTAAAATGCAATGTTAAAAAATGGATCCGATGCCAATTAGGGTGGAATTGCACCTAGGAGCGAACTCTTCCAACCACTGATTCTGGACTAGTCAGCATCCCAGGCTGGTGCGAGTTCTGACATGAGCCAGTGGGCCTCCCTGGCCTCAGCTCTTGTAGGGTGGAGACAAGCCAGGCTTCACACAGGCCCAGGCCCGGGGCGCCTAAAACACTCTACTTAGTGCTGTCTGGAACAGGGTGGGCACCCCAAAATGGTGGCTCTTATTTTTCTAACCACAATCCTTGAACACCCTTGTGAACTATTGCTCTGTTCTCATTCATTCATTTGCTGTAATATTCAAAGTTAAAAGTGAATAAAGCCTTAACCACAGCTCACTGATGGTTTTCGGGCATTAGGTGGCCTGTAGGGAAATGAAGTGCACTCCTGACCTTCATGCTGGCCTGCCCCTTGGATACAGTGGGGGAACGTGGTGGAAAGGGACTCCAGCAGGTCCCTGCTACCTCCAAAGCTGCCCTGCCCGGCACGAGACACCTGCACCCCTGAGCCCAACTGCAGTGAGGAATCTGCTCAACCAGATAGAGCAGCACAGGTGGTCAACCAGTATCCTCATCTCTCTAGAAGCTCACCAACTAATGGGCTCCCGGGGCAGGTATCCTCCTTTGGTCCTAAAAACACATGGCTGTCACGTAAGTCACAGCACAAAAACTACTAAACTGCCTCTAGCTGATCTCTTCCTAGTGGCAGCTTTTTCATATCACCCTAAAAACATTAAAATTAGGGGCTCAAAGGCTGAAGCACATATATTCATAAATATATTAAATTCTCAGAGAAATACCAATATAGGCCGATTCGCCATTAGACGAAAAAGGCATGGCTGGTAGAGGCCCACAGAAATGTACTTAACTGGTTAAGCACAATTATAACTGGTATTACTAAGGGGCCTGAAGAAATAATGTGCTCAAGGGGGTGGAACACACTCCCCTGCAAACTTATATCAATAACCCAATCAGCAAAACTAATGGAAAAAACCCAAAACCTATAGCAAGAACACAGAAAAGCCCAAGGAAGTCTTTGTTTAAATCACCACAAATTTAACCTGGGGATCTGAATTACTTCTCCATGGTCAATTGGGCTGGAGTTAGTACACTGTGCTGACACAATTAAACCCACATAAAGTCCTATAAATAAAAAAAGGGGGCGATTTTAACAAATGGATCAGTGAAGTTCAGATCTGCACATGTAAGTCCTACTTACTCGGTAATTGTGGTACGGTTCTGTTTCTGTATATTGCACCCTGAAGTTCTCGTACTGTCCGCCACGCCAGAACCGTTCTATTTCATAGTCATAATAAGGATCTGCATAAGGCTCAAGTCTGAAAAAAGAACGAAGAAAAAGTAAATGTTTTCACTTAAAAATATTAATGTAAAAATATTACATAAAATGTTAACAAACAAAATCTAACACATTAAGAAAACAATGTACCATGATTAAGTGGGGTTTAATGCAAGGTTGAGTCGATATTAGGAAATTCATGAGTATACTATATATCATCATAGACCTAAAGAGAAAAGTCATAGGATTTCATTTACAGATGATGAAAACACCTGTGACAAAAATTCAATACCCTTTCCTGATGAAAATACTCAAGAAAATAGGAAATGATACTTTCTTAATGTGACAAAACATATATTACACTTTAGAATAAAGCTAGCATCTTACTTTGGGAAAACAGGGGAGGTATTTCTATGAGATGGAGACGAGGCAAGAAAGCCTGCTGCCTCCTCAATGAACTGCCATCGTGTTGGAGGCACTGCCACTGTGATCAGGCTGGAGGCGCCCAAGAGAGGCAGAATGGGAAAAGAAGCGAAATGATCTCAATTTGCAAATTAAATGACACTATGCCTGAAAAATTGAGAATTGATGATAAAGCCAATTCAAACAGCCAAAAGCACACACGCAATAAGGCACATGGAGAAAAATTAACATACAGAAACCAACGCCTTCATATACACAAATAATAAACCCTTAGAAGATAGAGGTAGAGAAAACTCATGTACAACAGCAAGAAAGAAGAAAAAATAGGAACAAAATATGAGTACATTTAACCAGAGATGTGCAGAACCTTACCTCAAAACACTCTTGAAAGAGACAAGTTTGTGTGACAATATTCCTTGTCTTTAGATAGGGTGACTGGACATCACCAAGAAGTCAGTTCTCCTTATATTAATTTACAAATATAGGGCAATCCCAGTAAAAACACCAATGAGTTTCTTTATGGAGCGAGACAAGCTGATCCTCACATCCACATGGGAACAAAGATATGCAAGACCAGCCAAGAACATATGGAAAAGACAAAAAACACCCTGCGATGTGACAACATTACAGGAAGCCTGGGGGTGAAGACACACATGGACCGGAGGAATAAAAGAGAAGCCCAGAAACAGGCCCCAGCATGCATGATAAAGACGGACTTTCGATCAACAGGGACAGGACAACTAACCAATCCTTAGGAAGAAAGTGTGAGTAGACCGGCGTCACCCACCTTGGCCAGCAGCCAAGCACACTGACCCAGAGGACCTGCCCTGTGGGTGCCTTGAACCTGGGGGAGGTGGGTGGAGGAAAGGGAAACGTACACTTGGCAACAGATGGGCCCCAAGAGGTTCTTGCAGGGATTTCGTGGCTCCAGACCAACTCTCCCCTTTGGGTAAACTGGCAGGGAAAACCAAGGTGCCCACAGCTTACAGAGACCCCCACTCTGGGTGGCTGCAGGGGCCTCTGCCAGGCTGTGCTGCAGCCCTTGCTGCTGCCATCTCCAGTCGTCTGCAGGGCCTTCTGCTGGCTGCTTTCTAGGAATCTCTCCTCTGGTGTTTCCAGTGCTCCAGGCAGAGAAAACCTGAGGCTGGCTCTGCCAAATGACACAGCTATTTTTCATCCCAAACAGCCAGACATCTTTCTAACAATCTAACCCTCACACTACTCAGATAATATTTAATGACAACAATCAGTAACTATGCACAGAGGCCAGCAGTATGGCGTCGTGCTACACAGAGAGAAGGGACTATGGTCCCTAAGGCACAGACTTTTCCTGTGACCTTAAAAATACAAAAAAACAATACAATACATAGCCAATGAGGACCCCAGAAAATACTTTCCCAAATGGGTGTAAGGGTATGTGCTCCCTCAAAGAGGAGAGTTCAGGCAAATTCATTTTGGGAAAACTGGTTAAGCAAAATGAAAATGGCCTCTCTCCTGTGGGATTTCTCAGTCTTAGGATATAGCCGATGGAGAAAGTGCATGCAGCGATCCCTCAGCCTGCCTCCCTCAGAACCAAGTCTGGGCGCCTACCAGCCCGCAGGGCTCAGAAACCCAGAAAATGCTGCCATGAACACAACCTGGCAATGACTACCTTCTCAGGCATGATCTTGAAGGACAGACATTGGCAAGGGCAGTCGTAGGCCCTGGGCATGTGGCCTAACAGTCTGACCCCGGTTTACTAAGAAGCTCTGTTCCCGACAGATAGTGCAGATGGCCTTATTCCTCGCAGGCGACACCCCATGCATCCTGGGGGCCCCTGTGTCTTCTGGACCACGGGCAACCTTGGGGACTCAGTGGAGTCCTCTCTGTACAGTCCCCACAGCCCTGTGCAGAGATGACATTTCTTTTTTTTTTTTAAAGATTTTATTGGACAGTTGGGGGAGGGGAACAACATTGGGGAACCGGGGAAAGGGAACAGACAAGTTGCTGTCCTTTTGTCCTTCAGTCTAGTTGTGGAGGGTGTCGCTTCACTGGCCCATGTTGGTATTATCATTGTGCTCTTCCCGGGTGAGGCAGATCACGGTCGCTGGCCACTGGACGGCCGCTCACGGCGGCTCTTGGCAGCTCATGTCAGCTGCCAGCTACTCACGGTAGCTTACGGCAGTCCACTGCAGCCTATGTCGTCACCGGTGACTCACGGGCAGCCCAGCTCCAGGTCGAGCTGTTGTTTAACATCTTAGCTGTAGAGGGCACAGCGACACTGGCCCTAATGTGGGATCTGAACCGGGGCCCTGCTGCTCAGAGTTGGTGTCCCAAGCCAACTCCTAACCAATGCGCCACTTCGGCTGGCCCAGAGATGACATTTCTTAATGCCTCCTATGCATGAGGTCTCACAGGTCAGATGGCGTCTGAATAAAGTGCCCGACATGGTAGAAATGGAACTTTAAAAGCTATGAACTGGGGTGTGTCTGTTTAGAGAAGCGCTATTTTTATTAAGTGATCATGCTAGTGAATTCTGTTTAGTTCCAAATAAAGGTATAAAGTAAAAACAATTTTTCTGGGGCTGGCCAAGTGGCCAGTTAAGAGTTGGGTTGGGACTCCAGCTCTGAGCAGTAGGGCCCTGGTTTGGATCCCACATGAGGGCCAGTGACACTGCGCCCTCTACAGCTAAGATGGTGAACAACAGCTCGACCTGGAGCTGGGCTGCCATGAGTCACCGGTGATGGCGTAGGCTGCAACCCCTGCTGTAGTGGGCTGCCGTGAGCTACCTTGAGTGGCTGGCAGCCAGCGTGAGCTGCCGTGAGCCGGTGTCCAATGGCCGGCGAGTGACTGCCTCACCTGGGAAGGGCGCAATGATAATACCAACATGGGCCAGTGAACCGACGTCCTCCACAACTAGACTGAAGAACAAAAGGACAGCAAGTTGTCTGTTCCCCTTCCCCAATTCCCCAACGCTGTTCCCCTCCCCCAATAAAATCTTTAAAACAAACAAAACAAACAAACAAAAAACAATTTACCTGCCCTTTATACCATCCTAGAATACTTCATCAGGAGCTCTGGAACGGGCAGCTTTCCCATGGGTTCTATAGCCTAGTACCCAGCTCCACACGACCAGAACCTGACAGCACTAAGGTTCTACGTGACAACTACTCAGAGTTTTTCTATCCCTAAAACTCAGCGTCAAGTCTGACTGCCTACGCCCCTGGAACTGAAATCAGTCTCTCTCAGACACGGGTGGGCATGAGAATTGCCTGGGGGGCTTGTGAAAAACAGCAGGCTGGGCTCCACCTTCATTTTCAACAAGCTCCCAGGTCTAGGGACCACTCCTAGAGGGCCACAGCTTTCAGTCATTTTACCTTTCCCCACCTGGGACGTAACCTTGATTGCAGGCCTGCTGTGTCACTGGTAAGGAGCACCTGGGCACAAAGCTGTCACAAAGCAGGGTCCCAGTAAATAAGAACTATTAAGGTAGGTCTTTTTTGAGTCTCAGTGTTGATGGCCCTTGAGCCTGTTGTTAAATTCCAACTTAGTTTTTCAGTCACCCTTCTGCACTGTCCACCTCAAAGATGCCAGCCCAGGTGGCCCGTGTGCCCTCCTCAGCAGCCTGAGTTCTAACCCCTTCTCCCAGCTTCTCAGTTTTAACAGTTCCAGCTCCACCCCCCACAACACCTGGCAGCTACTTTCTGCAGTTGCCACCTTTCCTTCTGGTTCTGCAGTCACCTAGAAAGTGGTCTCCTCTGCTGAGCAGACCCTGGCTGACAGGGCCCTTGCACTGGGTGCCACCAGAAACAGCTGGGGCACTTTCCCACCTGACACATGCCAGGACCGCATTCCCAGCAGTCTGGACTGACCAGGTCTGGGTGGGGCCTGGCATGTGCATGCCACAAAAGCCCTAGTTAATTCTGATGCACAGCTGATGTTGAAAAAACAAACAAAATGCAAGTAAAAACCTGGCTCTAAGGGCTGTCCTCAGAGGCTTCAGAGTCTGACGGTCCTGCAGCATCGACCCTCTGTGGCAGAGAAGGCAGCAGCCAGTGTCAGCCTGGCACCAAACACGGGGCAGGGCTACAGCACACCTGCTTGTGCAGCCAAAGTCGCCACAGAGCCAGACCCCCCAGGCTGCTCCCCATCAAGCACCTTTTTCTGAGTCCGAGCTCTAGCCAGGACGGGAACCAGAGTGTCAAGGATCAACCCTGAGGTTCTAAAGCCTCTTGTTTGACCACTCATAACCAATTAGAGCATGTTCTGTGCTTTAGAGTGCTTTTGTCACTAGCTCCTGAGACTCTCAAAAACACCCTTAGGCAAGAAGGACAGTGTCATCACCTGCACTTACACTAGAAAGAGGTGAGGCCTCTAGACTTGTGATAATAAGCCCTTGGTGACCCAGGAGACGCAGTTCTCACTCACACACTCTTGTCTGTGATCTGACACTGTCCCCGCATACAGAATTAGAAAACAAAAGTTTTGATTACTCTTTAACTCTCTCCCCCTTTGACCTCTGAGCTGCTGGTGTGGACACTAGAGCATCTGCTCCTCTCCTCTGCACAGAAAGCCAAAGGGAAGCATAACCTGGGACCAGAGGGCCTTGAGACAACCTAGTGCGTTCAGATCAACATGACTGAATCCTGAAACACGAGCATTGTATGTGTTCCTTTTCTCTGCACCTTTTACTGCCATTTCAGCCAGAAGTCAGCGACTGAGACTTTCCAGTAGCAAATGTAAATGCACAAAGTGTTGCTACAAGACTAAGATGGTGCTTAAGCCAGTTCGGATCACTGACTGAATTACATGCTGTCCCGTGACCTGAGCCCACACGGCAATGACTGCTCCAGAGAAACCTGGCCTATTTCCGTTCCCTTAGAGGTGAACGCAACAAAGCCAGGCTTTCTCCTGGGAGACAAGCGCTGTACTTATTAGGTTATACAATGTCTAACGATTCGACTTATGTTTTTCAACCATAGGTACTTTCTCTGTAATTATTTTTTAAAAGACCAGTAATAAAATATCTGGGAGAAGAAATAACAGACAGCATTTACAGTGAAAAGGGTGACACCTGTCATGCTCCTGGATTTTAGTGGCAAATTTTATAGGTTTTTCTGGTTCCTACATAACTTGGGGAGGGGTGGGGAGGAGACTTATGGGACTTAAGAATGTCCCATAAGACATAAGAATGTCCCAGGGGCTTCAAGAATGGCTGTGAAAACTCAAAAGTTTATATAAACCCAAATGGATATGAGCCCTCCCCTGACACAAAACTAAAACATTCCCTTCCCTCCCAGAAGCCGAAGAAAGTCAACTGCAAAACATGTGAAATTATCTCAGGGATGTCATTCTGAGTCCATTCTGGGCACCAGGCCACACATGCCTCGGAGAACCTATAGGCTACTGCTCTGCAGGCCCTGAGCCCCACACATCTGGGGACAACTTAATTCTCTCAAAAGGGAATAAAGAGGCAAACCATTCCTTACGTTGTGTCTCTGACATCTCTCGTGATCCGATAATTCCAATCTCGGAAAACTTCATTTTCTTTGTCAAACTCCCGTTCATCTTCACCAATGGTCATAGTAAACCTTTTCTCTTCAAAATCAGGCTCCTGTTCTTTTCGAATGGTTGCTTTTTTCAAAACCTACCGTTGTGAGAAGAAAGAAGCCAACACTAGTTACTGTTAGGAAAAACAAAGGGAAGCCTGTCCTGATTTGACCCACAGAGAGATTCTTGGCCAGTGTGGCTGAAGCGGCCCTGCAGGAGCTGCACGACTGAGTGCTCAGTGGGCAAGGGCACAGGATCCCATGTGCCTTTCTGTGGGCCTGGAGTGCCCTGTCCCTGCACACAGCTGTACCTGGCACTAAGCAGGGCCAGGGACTTACTCACATTCTGGGAAGGGTGACAGAGGTGGCTGCTTCCTATTAATAGTCCTAGCATTAAAGCAGGGAGCTCCAGATATTAATTCAGCAATGAGGACCAAGTATAAACTGTGTACGTCTGCTCATGGCAGAAAAGGTACAAGGAGTCATTCAAAAGGCACAAGGAATCTCAGAGGAAAGAAGTGGTGAAGTGTGTGCTGAGGGAGCGAGGAGAATGATTTTGTTTGAGTCTGTCATCTCACTGAAAAGAAACCAACACAGGGGGCTCAAAAAGCAGCCTGGACATCCGGAGCCCGAGTGCAGCCTGGAGTAAGGGAGTGGGAAGAGGGGAGGTCCACATGTGCACCAAGGCTCTCTAGGGAGATAGAATGGCTCCTCCAGAGGATGGGCAACTTGGGGCTAGCAGTGTGTGCTAATTCTGGGGAGTGGCTGGGGGCTGCAGCAGCAGCTGGGTGTGGCCTGATGCTACACCAGCCACATGAAGACAGGGGCCCATGTTCTAGGCTGGGCCTCCTGGCCTCGAGGGGGTAGTCATGACACAGCATGCCTCCAAGAGATAGTTAGACATCATTTTCTATTCTCTGGCTCTTCAAAGAAATCACAGAAATATACCCATCACTTCAGAGGCTTTACTGAGTTTTCAATCAGTCTCTGGATCAAGAAAATGAGAGTTTGGTGCAAGGACCACCACTACTATTTTTCTTCTCAGGTTTTCTGCTGAATCGTTACCTCCTTTGCATGCCGAAGCCCTCGTTCCCAGGCACTCTCTGTGGGAGGTTCTGGAGGGGGTGGAGGCAAAATTTCATCAACTACTGGCCCACCCTATTAAAAAACGAGAAGGGAAAAGTTGAGAAAGCAAGGAAAACTTTAAAACTGATAAAGAAACAGGGGAGCAAAAACACCAACTAAACATCGGCTGGCTGTACACTGACTGCTCTCTCCTCAGAGCCTCACTCTGTCCTGGCATGTCTGCCCTGAATCTAGGATTACCTCTACATGGAGACAACGGAAGCATCTGGACGGTGGCTCTGTGACTATGACATCATAGAAATGGTTTTTACACAAGGCACATTAATGTGCTTTAAAAGCTGGAGATTCACAGAGCTTAGATGTCTGGTTTGTTAGCAATTAAAGAAAAGAGGTGTTCACGCACCCAAGGGTTGGCAGGCATCAGTGGGTGAGGTCCGAGAGGCGGGGCACCGTTAGGCGGGAAAGGTTCAGCTTTGGTGATTAGGGAGTAGTTGCCCTTGTCGTTGACTCCAGGGTGTATAAACCTACAATTCATTCCCCAGGTACAGTTCCCTAAGGAGACAAAAGTCAGGTCAGAATGGTCTGTGAGAACCCAAGTGCATGAAGTCCGCTTCCTGCCTGCTTTGCTTGGGCAGCAGCGTTTCTGAGGGCCTGTGACATGCCAGACAGTGTGCTGAGCACGCTCACAGGCTACAAGTGTCACTCCCCCCCCACCCCACACACACACCAAAAGGTGCACTGAGCCTGAATGTGGACAGACCAAAGCCGGGGAGCTGCAGAGGCAGGGCCAGTGCTCAGAGCAGGGCTGCCCTGGCCGTCACCTCCACCCAGGAGGCCAGGGTAGCTGTGCCAGTGTGAGCTCGCTCCTCATACATGAGCTCCCCGCCCCCACCTCTACAAACATCCAGGTCCCCAGCAGGCAGGCCTGGATAGTCTCAGACCAGACCCTCGGCTGGAAAATGAGCAGTACTTCCTAAAGGGCTCCTGAAGGGGCCCGGTCACGTGTTAGACGAAACAGACCCTGTTCCGAAGTCACCGTGTGAATAGTTCATTTTTGCCTAAAAACAGAAAAGTCTGAGAGCTTCCTAGTTAGAGGCGGCCCCTGCTCTGTGGGTTTACTGCTCAGAGACACTGCACCCCCAGCGAGGCCCACAGGTGCATGTACGGGACCATGATTCTGACTCAAAACCCATGCATACTGAAATAGAAATCAACAAGAAGCATAAAAACGGCCAGAATTCTGCAAGCCTGTCCCCATGGTGGTCCTTACCAGCTCTGTAAATTTGCATTTCTCCTATCAAAAGCCTCATAAAACATTTCAGGATATTTCTGGTACTTAAATGTGTTCAAGAGAAAACACATACACAATTATAATTAGCTGTTGATACTTTACTAAAAAAAGGTCATCTTTTAGCATTATTCAGTGAGAAACACCAGAGTTATTCAAGGAAACCACTTGCCTTTTCAACACAGAAGGCAAGAAGCCAAAGTTTTTAAATCTAATTAACGAGTAAATCACTTTTTTAAAATTTGATTTTTAGAGTAGATAATATGTGCACAGGGTCAAAAATAAATACGGCACACAATGTCTAAGTAGTTTTAAAAATATTTTCAATGGGTTAACATGTAGTTAAATTTTAAACCATTATTAATATATATTCACTTCTAAACATATTCCAATTGAACATTTCTGTGAACAAAACATGTTTTTCTTTATACAACATAAAATAAAAGAGAAATAATCATTTGGTATTTAGGAAAACACTAAATTTTACCTTTTAAACGTTATGAATATTTAAACTTGTATTAAAACCAACTTAATAATGTATTAATCTAAATTAAATATGAAATAAAGTATGCTTAAAATAGCTTTTCTGAGAATGCAAAAAGGACAGATAAACTTTTAAAATTCCTAAAGGTGTTTGAGAAATCATAGAAGAGGATGTGAAATACTGTACGACAGGGGATTCAAAATTCTAGTCTCAGGAGGTTTAAAGAAAAAAAGACTATGCAGTCACATATCTAAATAAATAATTCCAAGATGCTATCAACTTCACCATTTGACTCTTATAAAACTCATATTGTATTCCACCTTGCTTTTGTAGTTAAAAAAGAAAAAGCTCATTGTAGGAAATTTGCAAGTACAGAAAATAACTAACACTATAAACCACAACTTTTCTGTAATTTTTGAACCTAATTTATATATGTGTGAGTGCGTATAGTGGATAAACAGTTTTTTGTTATTCTCTGTTCTTGAATTTAAAAAATTTCAGAACACCACCCATGAACCAGCCCACTGACAAAAAGGTCTTTTTTTTGGTAGGAGAAAAGAGGAACAGGTCGACGAGAAGAAGCACGTGAGGGAAGTGAGAGCCAAGAGCAGGGGCACGTCTCCCTCTGAGACACCGGTGGGTGACAGAAGCCCATTCCCTTGTGTCCCCCTGCTCCTGGGCGTGCTAAGATCCTTGTTGAGCATATGTTTGGACCCCTGGCCACCAAAGAGAAGGAGAAGGACAGATGTCCAGCAAATGCAAGCACAAAGAGAACAGTCGGAATAGTGCAATCCCAATTAGCCTTTTTAATGTGAATTTTTATCTGTGTGGAAAGACGTCTGGAAGGACATACCCCGAACCACTGGGACTGTGGGAAGAGAAAGACTTACCTTTTATGGTCTTGACACTTGCCAGCACATATTACTTTCATAATTAAAAAATTTACTTGGAAAAAAAATTCTCTGGGAAATGAAAGCAAAAATCGATCTTCTGGTTTTAAAATTGTATGGTGGTCTGTTTTTGAATGAAACTTCACACACACAAAAGTTGTGTGGATTGTGATTCTGACTGGATGAATAAATAGGCTTCTAATTACAGAAGGACATGCATCGGAGCCAGAATGGAACAGAAGAAATGGAAACAGCTGTGACAAGGCAGTACAGTGCGACAAATTTCTTCACCTTGGCACACACAGGGCTTCAAAGGCATTGACATTGTTCTTTTTTATAATTGGATGGTGGGCACATCAGTAATTGTTTTATTCTTTTATTATTCTTTATGTCTGTGTAAACATTTTATATTTTATATATGAAATATTTCATAATATAATAAAAGGAATACATGGAAACAAAAAGTATCCAAATACTCTAAAAGATATTCAGTGAAATCTCTATGCCTCCAGGGCCCTGCACAGAGGCAGTTATCAATTTACTGGGGATCAACCAATCAGTGTACTCACCGCCATTTTCCCCCGGTTATGTTATACACTCTGTGTTGAACCTTGCTTTTCTTCACTAAACAATATCTCTACAAAAAAAGGAACCTGCATGCTCAACAGCAACAACCCAAACTCTTATCAGTGAAACAGACACAATATATGCAGGAAACCTAATGGGACCCAGCAGAAATCAAGGAAACTAGACACAGCAACCCACTGGCCACAACCCACCACATACTACAGCAGCCCAAGGAATCCACGGTTTGAATGTTAGAAGAAGCAAGCATGCTATATCTGTAGGTACATGTATGAGCATGTGTGCATGAGAGGCCCAGAAGCACTAACAGATTTTAAAATTTCTGATTGTTGGTTCAAGTGGTGCTCAATGCAGTGCTGATATCATTTTTCAGGCTGCACTGTCCCAGTATTTGCAATGCATCTTACTGGAACACTTGAAATAATTTTACAATATCTCTATTTTCCATAAAAAGTACTTGCTTCACACTAATATTTTAAACAAAGATTTTATTTCTAAATAAGACACAGTGGTCTTATTTAAATATTCCTTGTTCCCATTTCCTGTTTGCCTAAATAACTCAGAATAGGTAATAAATATTCAGACTGAAAATAAAGCAGTTTAGAAGTACTTCACAATGGGAAGGCAGAATACTTAAAAATCTAATAATTAAATATTAAGGACAAACCTAAGCTGTACAAATGCATATTCTAATAGGCATAAACCCAACGAACCATCACATACAGAGCTGTAACAATGTAACACCAAGAACTCAGGTGTCCTTTGCTTTCCCACATCAGAGAACTGTGACAGAAACGGATAGACAGCCACAGATATCAAACAGAGTTCTGAGATACTGTAACTCCTTTAAAGAATATTCATATGGTAGCCAAAAGAATTAAAACAATTTCTGGACTGCTTCTTTATAAATAACGCAGACTCGAAACCAGCAGTTCTCTAACTTTTTGGTTTCAGGACCCCAAAGAACCTTTTTTTGTATGGGTTATATCTACTGATAATCTTCACTGTAGAAATTAAAACTGAGAAAATTTAAAGGCAAAATATATAACACATGTAATTTCTGTTAACAATGTTAACATGAATGTTTCATGAAAAGCAACTATATTTAAAAAATACTTAGTGATAAGAGTAGCATTATTTTCCTTTTTGCAAATCTCTTTAATGTAGATACAGGCTAGAAGACAGCTCGGTTCTCACGTCTGCTTCTGCATTCAATTTGTTGTGCCAGGTTGTTTTGTTTGAAGCAGGTGAAGAAAATCCAGCTGCAGGCAGAGATGTAAATGGACATTAAAAAGGCCATTTTAATAGCCTTTTCAGATACTGTTGGATGTTCTTTGATGCTACATCATACTTCACAAATAAAGAAGGCCTCTTCACAGCTGCAGTGCAGATCTATAACCCTACCACTGAACTCTTCCGACTCTGTTCCACTGAAGTCCAATGGTCTATCTTGAACTGTGAATGGATCTGCTTCCCAGGTATAGTTTGGTAACACCAAACAACAGTCATTTGGAAAAGCTCACTAAACACTACAAAGCTGTCAAGCTCATGGTGGAGATAAAGACTCTCCTAAATTCTAATTTTCACTTGAGAGCTGGAACTTCATCATTAGTAACAGATATTGTCAGTTGTTCCTCTTAAAGAGGCAGCAGGCTTACTTGGTGAGCCTTTGAGAAGACCTGGTTCTGCGTCACCATGGCATATCGTGGTTGTTCCTGCGAGTGAACATGTGCTCCCTGGAAAGAGCAGCTGGCTCAGCTCACAATGCAAGCCTCATGCGTGCCCTCCCTGGAGAGGATCTTTTGCACTTCAGTGCACAGCAGAAGGGCTCCATGTGCACTTCCAGTTTTGAAATACTGAATATAGAAAAGACACGTCCTGAGGGCTCTTACTGGGGTGATGAAAATGTTCTAAAATAGCTGTGATGGCTGCACGACTTGGTAAATTTAATAAAAATCACTGAATTGTACACTTAAAACAGGCAAATTTTATGGCATGTAAATTACATCTCAATAAAGTTTTCTTTTAAAGACCTTTACTCAAGTGTAAAATTTAATTATAAGTGTTACTGCTCTATCACAGACATCATTAAGTGAAATTGGCATTATTTAACTGTGAATACATGGTGATCAATACCTGACTATTAGTGCAGACTTAGTGTTATAATGAACATAGTTTTGATCTTAGGGGACTTTTCAGTCCCCGAGAAAGTTTCAAGGACCCCTAAGGGCCCACAGACCATGCTTTGAGACCTACTGCTTTAAACACAAGAGAATACAGGGATTCAAAAATGGGTGATAGACATTTCTCCAAAGAAGACATACAAATAGCCAAAAAGCACATGAAAAGGTGGTCACCAGCACTAGTCATTAGGGAAGTACAAATCAAAACCACAATGAGGTGAGGAGATACCAGCCTCACGTCCATTAGGATGGTTACTATAGAAAAATTGGAGAAAACAAGTGTTGGTGAGGATGTGAGCAACTGGATCCCTTGTGTACCATTGGTGGGTATAGCCACTGTGGAAAACAGTATGGTAGTTCCTCAAAAAATTAAAAATAAGGTCCGGCCGAGTGGTGCATTGGTTAAGAGCTGGCTTGGGACGCCAGCTCTGAGCAGCAGGGCCCCGGTTCGGATCCCATATGGGGGCCAGTGACGCTGCGCCCTCTACAGCTAAGATGGTGAACAACAGCTCCACCTGGAGCTGGGCTGCCGTGAGTTGCCGGCAACGGCGTAGGCTGCAGTGGGGCTGGCTGGCAGCAGGCGTGAGCTGCCAAGAGCCGCTGTGAGCGGTCGTCCAGAGGCCGGCGACCAATCTGCCTCACCTGGGAAGAGCGCAATGATAATACCAACATGGGCTAGTGAAGTGACGTCCTCCACAGCTAGACTGAAGAACAAAAGGACAGCAACTTGTCTGTTCCCCTCCCCAATAAAATTTAAAAAAAAAAACAACCAAAAAATAAAAGTACCAGATGATCCAGAAATCCTAATTCTGCATATATACCCCAAAAATGTGAAAGCAGGGTCATGAAGAGATTACTTGTACACCTACGTTCACAGCAGCATTATTCACAACAGCCAAAAGGTGGAAGCAACCCAAATGTCCATTGTTGGATGAATGAATACACAAACTGTGGTCTATACACACAATGGAGAATTATTCGGCCTTAAGAAGGAAATTCTGACACGTGCTACTGACAGTTGAACCAGAAACCCAGAGGAGGAGATGGCTTAAAGAACATGCTATTTTTGCCTTTGTGAATAGAACTTTGTCTTGATGATTCTACATAAATATATGAGGTAAAAGTATATCATAAACAAATACTGGTGCTTTAAAATGTTTCAATTTGTATTCCTAAGTACATTTTGTTGTCATGGGTCACAAATATCAATATGTCCATTTGGGCAATTAAATGATTAATCTGCAGATCACAATTTGTAAATAGAAATACAGCTAACAAACTTTTTAAAAAAGAATTTCCAAATTAAGATATAATTCACATACATTACTACCATTTAAAGTATACAATTCAGTGGGTTTTAGTATATTCACAAAGCTGTGCAATCACCACCACGATCTAATTCCAGAACATTTCATCACCCCAAAAGGAAACCCTGTACTCACTGGCCACCACCCCCTCACTGCTCCCACTCCCACTCCCCGGCCGAGACAATGACTAATCTCCTTTCTGTCTCTATGGATCTGCTTCTTCTGGACAGTTTACATAAGTGGAAATGTACAATGTGCGGCCTTCTGTGTCTGGCTTCTTTCACTTGACACAATGTCCTCAAGGTTCGTCCACGTTGGAGTATCAGTACTTCATTCCTTTTTACAGCTGAATAATATTCCACTGCATGGGTAAACCCCATTTTATTTACCCATCATCATGAGCTGATGAACATTTGGGTTGTTTCCACTTCTTGGCTATTGCAAATAATGCTGCTATGAACATTCACGTCCAATTTTTTGTGTGGATGTATGTTTTCATTTCTCCTGGACGGGTACCCAAAGTGGAATTGCTGGGTCATAAGGTAGCTCTATCCTTCACTTTCTGAGGCACCGACAGACTGTTTTCGAGCAGCTGCACCACTTTACATTCCCACCAGTGGTATATGAGGGTTCCATTTCTCTGCATCCTCGCCAAACACAACAAACTTCATTTTCAAAGTGACTTCTCTTGCCATTGGAAGGAACTTAAACATATCCATCTCAATTTAACGCCATGCTTACAAATTGCAGGTAAGCAAAAACATTTACATCAAAAACTTTCTTACAACTAAAAAAAAGCAGGAGCTATGTTCTAGAACACTGAAAGAACCAACCATTTCCTTTTGTACTATATCACATTACTCTGTAGAATAAACAAATAATATGGGGGGCAGGGGGGAAGGTAAATATGTATATTTTTTAAATTCCCAAAACAAGTTACTGACCATGCCCAATTAAGCTGCAAAAAAGGCTGCTTTACTAGCTTCAGATTTTTCTACTGCAGAAAGCCTTACCTACTGGTCTCACTCCCTGAAAGCCAAACTGAGCACTTAAGTCTGACCCTAGAGGCACCTCGCGCCTATTGTGATGTGACCCTGGTGACGTCCATGCAGGTGGCATCCTGTCCTTGTCCATCGGGCATCTCCTGATGATGCTGATCTGCAGTTCCAGCAACACCTTCATTCGTGTGCATGCTTCCCTTGCTAAATTCTGGAAACTACTTCTGCGGTGTGGCCCCAGCACCTAGACCAGAGCCTCGGAGGCATGAACGGTGAGTGCTGCTGCCTCCAGCTGTGGGAGCCTCTGGCGCTAGTCCTGACTGCCACTTTGTGTACAGTGCTAACTGGAAGTGACTGCAAGTACATATATGTATGTGTATACATGTGTCTCCATTGCTTTAATCTAGAAATTTCAGAGAAGGGTTGACATTTACTCCTACATCATTACAGAAAGGAGGTCTTCTGCTTAAGTTTAAATTTCCTGAAATACTAACACTTCAAATGCTTTCTACAATGTATTGCACGCTTATCTGTGGACTTAGCATGGCTCTGCTGCTCATGATGTAACGTCTGCTCCCTGCTCTATAGCACATGACCGTGCTGGCTGCCATCCTGCAGGCACAGTGGAGCCCATCACAAGCAGGTGAGTCAAACTGTTTCCACTTAGCAGAAACAAGCACGGAAACAGCACAGGCCAAGAGCACATGCCCCAAGGAGCGAGCTGACGCAGGTCCTGGGTGTGCTAGCCCCTCAGCTCCCGTGCACCCTCATCATTGGGCCATCCCTCAGTACCAGGGACAGGGTCATTTGAAGGCCACCGAAGTGCAGAGCTGCTCTGTGAGATGGGACTCCAATGTGCCTGTGACCCCGCCCTCCCCACGAGGTCAGCGCACATCTACTGAGCGCCTCGTCAGGTACCTCTAAGTGTCAAGGTTCACAACCGCTCTCTGCCCCTCTCTGCCCCTCCAAGCCTCCCCTTCCTTGTGGCTTCACAGCAGTACTCTGGGTCCAGGAGAAAGAAGTCTGGCCTCTGGAGCAGGGGGACTTTGAAGGACTAAAGAGAGTGAATATTGTATATTTTGTACCTTTAACCTGGTCTCTGAATGGTATGGAATTTGATATTGGTGGAAGAAGAGTGGATAATGGTGTCACAACATCTGGAAAAGAAGTACAGGAAGCTCTTGTGAACTTTACACAGTACACGCAGGCTGGGTCAGTGAGCAAAGTCATCAAGGGTCAGGGTAAAACTAAGAGAAAAACATCTTCCTGCCTGTCCAAGAAAAATGCTGAATTACAAGACATATACCCAAACTACTGCTGCACATCAACGAAACCTTAAGCCTGGGCATTCTTATTTCCATTTCCAATTGCCCAAGACTTTATTCCAGACTTTTCAACGAGATTTTATCACATTGCCACCTGTTACTGCTTCTTGACTCACACTGTTCACTTTTCAGAACAGAGGGGAGCACTGCTGCTTTCGGAGGCCATCCCTTTGCTCTTCTGAAATCCATTCCAATTGAAGGATAGACTTCAGAGACATACTGCGGAAAAGTGGTCGTTTTCCTGACAGAGGTGGCAAAATGTCAAAACGGGCGCCTGCGGTATTCTGTCTTATAAAAAGGACCACTTAGGAAAATGATTGATAATGTCTACGTTAATGTCATGGGTCTGTTATAAACATGTGGGCCTGGAACCACAAGTGTGAGAACAACAAGGCTGGCTCCCCCTCGAGTTAGTCATTAAAGTAATGAAAGGACCATTAAAAGAATCTATGGTTTCACATTCATATCACCATAACCGCCACCACAAACTGTCACAGTCTGGGCCCACGAACAGCCTTGCACAGGCTCCAGGGCACTCGGCAAGGTTGAACCACCACCACAGTCCTAGGAAAAGCTGAGGCCACACAAGTGGACCACAGAAAGGCCCCGCACTCAGATAATTACCTTTCATGAAGAATCGGCAGGTGGGACGAGGCCTCACCTTCCTGTCACTGGGGTCCTTTACTTCGCCCTCTTCCAGATCATCATCCTGAAACAGAGGACAACATGACTTGCAGAGGGAATTGTCTTAATAAGAGTGAAGAGGCAGGAAGGGAACCTACTAATGGGCATGGCTTTCACCAAACCAAAAATGATATGGTCACATGACCCGTGTCTGGGCCACTCACCAATTCATTACATTTTCCAAACCTCAGGTTCCTCATGCACCCAACAGGCCATCTCAAGCTTACCTACAAGACTGAGGCATCCCACGAAAGAACAGTGAAAACACTGAAGCATGTGATGCAAGGGACAAACCTGGGTTCCGTTATGTTTCTCTTAATTAGCAATTCTGGGCAGAAAATGGTCACACTTCAGGTTTTTAATATTTTGTACATTTAAACAAATATTTACAGAACAAAATGTTTTATGTCCTTAAAATTCAATACTAACTTCCTCTAATTTAAAAGTCTGGGAGTGGGGAGGAGGGAAGTGGGGAGGAGTCACTCAGGGAAGTGACTCAGGTCAACGATGCCATCTGGTCAGTTTTGTGGACATACCTTTCATTTCAGATATAGGCCCTTCTCTTCTCATTCTTAGTACAGAGTTCTCAACCTTGGCTGACAAATTTTAAAATAACGTGGAAGCATTAAAAAGCCCAGGGATTCCGAAGAGCAGCCACGACCTGGACCACTACCCTCCGCCCTCCCCAAACCCCACTAGCCCAGGGCCTTGGTCACCACTGACCTGCACAGATTCCCTCCCACCCCTGCCCCTGCTTGGAAGGGACGCCCCCCTTCCAAGCAGGTATCCAGCTGCCCTGCTGACATCTCTGTTGGTCTGTCCAGGATGGAACTAACTCCTCATTGCCCGTGTCCCAGCCTGTTCCAGAGTGCTCTAGTGCAGTCAATCCAAGGGGTCCCGCAGGGCACAGGTCTGGGAGTCACTAGATCCCTCTCCCCGCATCTCCTGCAGCACCACCGTCTTCCAGACCATAGCCCAGTCCCACCTGGTCAGGGAAAGCATTCCCTAACTGGTGTCCCCCACTGTCTCCCAAGCTCTCCCACATGCTCCCCACAGTGACCTTTCCAAACCCCACCCAGACCATATTCTTCCCTCTCCTCTCCTCTCATCACTTAACTCATCTCATTTTCAGATTGCAACTTGAGTCCCCTACCTCAGGACCCCCCATCGCCCTTGACGATGGGTCCTTACAGCCCCCTCTCCTGCAGCACTGGTCATGGACATCACAACCTGCCCAACGGAACGGAGGCTCCACCAGGCAGGACTGTGTCTGTCTGCTCAACATGTGTTGCTGGTGCAAGCACAGTTTCGGGGTTGTAGTAAGTGTTAAGTATTTGCTGAATGTAGAAATGCTGAAGTCAAACCCTGGATTTATGATGACTTAGTTTTAAAGCTTAAATATTTGTATAATCTCTGCCTTGAAAATATTTAGTTATTAAAAGCATCTTATAACAAAAAGAACAGATGTCTGAGAGTTATATCCCCTAAGAGGGCTAACAGAATGATTTCTTTCTTGTTTTTTTTTTTTTTTGAGAGGGATTAAGTAATTTATTCAACTTTTTCCCCCTCTTTTTAAGGTCCCTAGGATTCATCTTATAATTGAAAGTTTGTACCCTCTGAACTTCTCCCCATCTTCCTCAACCCCAGAATCACTGCCTTAAGTTTTAGAAAAAATGCGCTTATTTTATGCAAAGTGACAGAACACCTCTCTCCCCTGGTGTTTTATCCTATATTTTCTTTTCTTTTTTTTTTTTTACCATTTTTCTCATAGTTACTGCGCTAAAACCTTAACATGATATTTTACATGAGCTCAAACCTAAGTTGGGAGAAGATTCTCTCTTTGTTCTCATTAGAAAAACTAAACTCTTTTGAAAGGTTAGAACCTATTCAAATCTTCCTGCTTCATTTAGAAATGAATGTATGGGAGTGAAATGATAAGTACAGAATAACAGTTTTTCAGAAGTCAGGATTCATAATAAGTGTACTAGATCAGATTTAAAGAGGCATGTTTCTGCAAAGGTGTTATTTTCAATATTCGCAAGAGCAAAATGGAAAACTACCTACCCATCTTAATTAAGATTCATAAGCAGTCACATAAACCATACGAAGGAGTATATGCAGCTACTAAAAACGATCAATAAACACACCTAGAAATGCACAGTGAAGCACATGATATAATGTCAACTCAATGAACACAGAATAGCATCTACCCACTGACCACTGCCATCCAGTCCCCACACCTGCCAGGATAGAGACAGAAGGCTGTACACATTGGTGTGCTGGGTTTATGGTCTCTCCTTTAACTAAAAAAAATAAACAATCAAATCACTCAGCAATATAATATCCTGAATTTTCCACTAACCATTCATTTAACACAATGGCCTTTCAAGTGACAGATGACTAAAACGAGTTCTTAAATCTCATAGCTTCATGCAAATAGAACTCAAGAAAGGGATCTCTACAGCCAAACTCCCAGTGCTCAGTTATCTGAGGGCTGTTACATCAAGTGTGTAATATACGGGACTCCTTTCAGGCCTCCTGGCCATGTGACCTAGAACGGAGGCAGCAGATGGCAGAGGACAAGGAGAGGCCTTGGTGATCTGGCCAGAAGCAAACAGGTGGGTCTGAAAGGACAGGAGAGTCCATGAAGCTCTCAGCAAACAGCAAACATCACCCTGAACCGTGAAAATGGCATAGGCATCTAACTGAGTGTGAAAGGTCCTCTACAGTTTACAAATCTAAGGAATGGCCACGGCTCACTGGCAGACCTTTATCAGCACTTCTTCAATATGTACAGGGCACATTCAACTTTAATGCCTTTATAAAACATACCACAGGACGCAAGGCCTGAGTTCAAATTCTGGTTGTGTGCTGGTGGACACATCCATCCACTTTGAGCTAGTTTCCTCTAGCAAAACAGGAGTGTATTCAGAGTGCTCACACACAGTGCTTCGCAGAACACACGAGCAGTGAGCACTCAAAGAGCGAGTGATCACTATTTTAATGGAAAAATGCCTCAGCGACAGCATGCTGAAATACAATTATCTCCGAGTAATGGCAGCACAGGGGTTTTTTACTTTCTTCTTTGTACAGATTATTTTCCTTAAAACAAAACAGACAAAAAAACCACCAAAAGCCAAAAACCAATGCCTGTATATTACTCATATAAGAGATCGTTTCCAACATGGCAGCACCTATAGCAACGGCAGATAAGGCAGATAAGGAGGCTGTCACCACGTGGTGCCACCGCGCAGGGAAGCAGACATGGCATGTGGACACAGGCACCAAGCAGAGGCCTAGGTGCCACCTTGACGCTGCCATCTGGGCCAACCACAATCTTCTTAAATCCTGACCCTGTATCTGTAAAAATGGGATAACAATGCAGGTCTATAATCCCCTATCCCAAACTCTCATGGCCAGGTGTTTCGGGAATTCAGAAATGTTTTAGAAAGGCGATATAATGGGGTCTGAAGCAGCACTCTCTTAACAGTCACAGTAACCTTTTCTGTAAGATGTGTGACCAGCCCCACAAGGGGGTAAATACAGGACCACAAACAGCCTGGCATCAGCTCGGGCCGGATCTGCCACCTGGCCAGTGAGGAAACCTTCCTCTTCTCGAGCGTCTGGGCTCTCCTGGCCGAGAGCGAGGACTGTGTGGCCTGTGCTTGCTCATGTGGCCATGCTGCCAGTCCTCAGGCGGCTGATAGCATGTGGGCTCTCTTCTCCAATGTGGTGCAGGCAGTGGCTTCCTGGGCTTCGGCAAGGGGACTGATGCAATCCCGCACCCAAGTGACTCGGAGGACAGTGAAGACAGTGAACGTACCACCTGAAAGGAGTGGGCCCCGCAGAGTAAACCCTCAGCCATGGTCCAGGAGGACCTTCTGTAAAAGATGGTGTGTATCCAGACATAAAAGAAACAGCTATATTTGAATAGAGGAAAATATAAAATACCACCTGCAAAGAAAATGCTTCCAAGTATTTTTGCACAGGGCTGGGCTGAGAGCTACTTCTGACCAAGGAGTCACATGGACTGTCCACTTGGGACGTGGCCGCTGTCCTGCTGTCTCCGAGAGGTCACCCTACCAGTGTAAGAGTCACTGACAAAAGGAGGAATGGAACAAAACTTGTATCCCACCCTTTTCCAAAAGGATGGCATGCTCCAGGTAGCTGAAGTTCTGTCAACCAAATGACAGGAAGGCATAAAAACAGAACCAAGTAAACAAGCCAAGGAGAGGATGGACAGACCAAAGATGGCAGGATGCAAGTCTGTACAGGTAAATCAAGGACCCATGAAGGTTGTTCAGTCTGCTCCTCAAACCCAGAAGGAAGGAACGGTTCTGACGAGAGACTAAGCAGGGGTGCAGGAGAAGGAAAAAAAGAACTTTACACAGTGGGAGTTGACTAGGGTGGTAGCTCTGTTCACTCTTCTGAGAGGGGCATATGTAGAAAGAAAACCACAAATGTGTCTGATTTTAAGTGTGGCTTCCTGAACAGGGAAGAGACTACTGATTAAATAAGGCTCACACCAGGTTCAGTTGTCAGAGACCCTCAGCCCTCACTCCACACATAACCAGGGAGTAGAAACAGCTGGCCCACCACCCTGTGTGCAAAATCCCACCCTGCCACAGCAGGGAAGTGGCACTTCCAGAAAGGCATTTATATCCGAAGGGGCCTCTAGCAGCACAGGAAAAACACATAAAGGTAATTTAAGGTCTTAGTCACAAACTGTGGTTTAGACAAAAGAATTTCAAGGGTTTACTGTACAAATTGACGTCACTATCAAGGAAACTACACCAAGGGAGCAGAAAAGTTAGGAAGGGTAGGGGTGACTCCCTTAAATCAGTTCACTTCTCCCAATCTAAAGGTAGAAAAGCTGGATGATGCACCTGACAGAGGGGAAAGCGCCTCAGTTACAAGAGGACAAGTCGCTCGGTATTCTAGACTCTTCAATCCAGCTGTTCCCAGCAACGCAGGGCCGGAGGCTGAGGGGGGAGATGGAGCAGCCATGCATGTGGGAGAGGCCATCAACTCATATCAAGGGGCCTCTTGATACAGCCAGGCTGGCGGGGCGCCTCCTGGGCATGGAACCGCTCAGGGGTCTCACTGAATGCATGCTAGTTCCTCCTCTTAAAACACCCAGGTGGCGCACCCTGATACCAGAGCTGCACTTGAAAGCCACGGGGAAAAAGCCCTCCGTGATATAGACTTTCCACCAGGACCAGAAACTACTTCGCAGGGATTTAAACTAAAGGGGCCAGGTCAAAGGCGTGCCAGGAGCAGGCTGTTCTTGGACCCAACTGCACATCTCTGGTTCCCTCTCCAGCAGAGAAATGTGCCTGGGGACATGGCAACTTGGGAAAGAAAGATACAGAATGTGTGCTTGGTGGGGACAGGAGGCACACATTCTAGCAGAGATCTGACAAGGAATGAAGAGTTAGAAATGGCACAGAGGGCGGGCAGTGGCGCGTTGGTTAAGAGTTGGCTTGGGGGCTGGCCGAGTGGCGCGATGGTTAAGAACTGGCTTGGGACGCCAGAGGGCCCCGGTTCGGATCCCACATATGAGGGACAGTGACACTGCCCTCTACAGCTAAGATGCTGAACAACAGCTCAACCTGGAGCTGGGCTGCTGTGAGTCGCCCGCGACGGCATAGGCTGCAGCCCCTGTGGCAGTGGGTTGCCATGGGTACCGTGTGTAGCCAGCAGCCGCAGTGAGCGGCCGTCCAGAAGCCGGCAACTGATGTCCCTTGCCTGGGAAGAGTGCAATGATGGTGCCAACTTGGGCCAGTGAAGCAACATCCTCCACAACTAGACTGAAGAACAAAATGACAGCAACTTGTCTGTTCCCTTTCCCCCAATTCCCCAATAAAAATCTTAAAAAAAAAAAAAGAGCTGGCTTGGGACGCCAGCTCTAGAGCAGCAGGGCCTCGGTTTGGATCCCACATGAGGGCCAGTGACGCTGCGTCCTCTACAGCTAAGATGGTGACAACAGTTCAACCTGGAGCTGGGCTGCCGTTAGTGTCGCTGACGACGGCATAGGCTGCAGCCCCTGCTGCAGTGGGCTGCCGTGAGCTACCGTGAGTGGCTGGCAGCCGGCATGAGGCTGCTATGAGCAGCCGTCCAGTGGCCGGCGAGCGACTGCCTCACCAGAGAAGAGCGCAATGATAATACCAACATGGGTCAGTGAAGTGACGTCCTCCACAACTAGACTGAAGAACAAAAAGACAGCAACTTGTCTATTCCCTTTCCCCAATGCTGTTTCCTCCCCCAACTCCCCAATAAAATCTTAAAAAAAAAAAAAGAAAGAAATGGCACGGAGAGAGGAGGAAAAACCAACCAGCAACACATGTTTATACTGGGTTCTTCCAATGATAGGTGGTTAGGGCAGGTGCTGGTCACCCACATGCAGTTCTTGAACTGTCATCTCTATGCAGATAGCTTTCTAGTATAAACCTTCCACCCACTGCCACTCCACACATAAATGGCACTCAATTTAAACATGCCTCAAAGCAATGGGTTTATCTGCTCAGAAGGCAGTTATTGTCTGCCTACAACGTGCCAGGTCCCGGAGATACACAGGGAGCCAACCCTGTAGGTTCCGGATATAGAGAACTTGTGTTCTTTGAGGGAGGGGGTCGGAGGGAGAGGGGGGAAACAATAGAAACACACTGATGACCTGGTTAATTTAACTACGAAGTATAATAAAGGTACTAAGCCAGGTACAACACAGGGGGGACGGAGACAAGGGCAGGAGGCAGAGTCTATGTAAAGGAGGTGACATTTATACCAATAGTTGAAGGATGGGGAAAAGTCCAAAATGAAGTCAGGCAACCAGAGGAGTTCCTGCAGGGCAGGTGTGCTCCTGTGAGGACCCAGGTCACCATTTACAGTACCTCCTTGCCAGGGTGAGGTCTGCCCGACCCCAAGGTGAGGGTAGGCTCTGCTCTACCCTGTCATATCCCCAGCGGTGTCATAAGCCTGGCACACTACAGGGCCCACCAGGGTTGTGTCCAACAGCACAGACCTGCAGGGGCGACTTGGGCAGGAGGCCCGGTCTGTGGTGCAGGAAGGAAGCTGCTTCCCACGGCTGAATGAAACTGTACTTGGATCTCCTCAGCAGCACGCTGTTTCTAACTGGGCTGTGGGGCACTTCATGAGAGGTGCCATGCTGGGCAGAACATGCCAAACCAACCCACCAACTGTGGGATCTGAGTGGGCAAGAAAATCAAACTGGAGTTTGTATTTCACAGGCTGTTTCCAGGGGAAACCAGCCAATCTCCAGACAATGGGTGTTTTTCAGGGACAGCTTAATTCAACTCGGTGTCCCACACTGCCACATCTAAGCACAGTAGGAAAGCCCACTGGCATGTTGACACCAAGGCACTCTGGAACTAGCGGGGAGACACTTGACCCCATATGATTACGGAAAGGTAGGAGAGTAGATGAATTTCCCCCTAAGACTTATTCAACTGTTGAAGCAAGAAGAGTTTGTGACTGGCCCACTCTTAACAGATAATGGACTGTCCAGAACCCCCGGGCCACAATCAGGAGCCCCCCAATATACTCTGGTGGCAGAACACGGATATGGCTTTTCTCTCTGTAACACTGAAAAACCAAACTCACAGGCAATCTCAACCAATGACTTCAACTTCTGCCCCAAATTTCATCCAAATCGATTAACCTGAGTGTTACAGCACCATTTTCCCCTTTGCCAACCCTGTGGTAGAGGTGAACTTTCCAAAAGTGAAAAGGAAGCACAGCTGGCAAAAACCTAAGGACACCTGCATGATAATGTCCTCACAACACCCTTTTAAAATAATATTAGGCAAAGGTTATTAACTCAGGAGACCATCTCACACACTTAGCTGTGATAAAAGACCTAAAATTCTAGGCTTGTAAGCACATACACACGTCCCACGAAGTTCTGTTCTTATGAACCCAAGTTAGATAAGTAATGTCTAAAACCCTATAAATTCATGGCTGCCACCACATTTTAAAATGGACTGAGCCCATATGCACCAACACACTGGTAGCGTGGCTGAGTGTTTAGCAACCTTTTCCCTCCCAACCCAGAACAGTTCTGAGATGTTCCACACACCTTTCACCTTGATGACTCTCAGATAAGCAGAATCTCCTTCCTGGGGGTACTTTAAAAAAAAAACGGTATTTCAATCTGCTCTGTTCCTCTCTCAGCTCCTTTGAGTAAAAGCATTACTCAGTAGGATTTTAGACTCTTTTCTCCCCCAAACCCAATTTCTTAAAGATCATGATTAAAGTTCTTTCAAACGGATGATCTGTCCTAAAACCCTAAAATACCTAAGGGGTATTTACTTAGATATGCCTAAAACATCTAAGATGGTATATTACTAGGCTTACCTTCTCCACCTGAAGGCCAGATAATTTAAATAAATTATAAGTGTGATGGTTTGATTAAAAGCTGAGGTGTTCTGGCACACAACCCCATTTTATCCAGTCCTGAGGGTCTTTTCAGGGACACTTCCAAAGATGCTTGGCCCAGATGGGACCCTCCCCAGAGGACTGGCCATGGGACAGAGATAAAAATGCCTAAAAGAATAGACAAAACTGGAAGAAAGCTTGTTGAGTCTTTTCAGTCTCAAGAACCTGACAAGGACTGAAGATCCACAATTGTTCTGCTTGAATGCTAACTCTAAGTGGATTTAAAGATAGCAAACACAAAGGGAGAAATTACCTCATTAAAAAAAAAAAATTCCAGAATTTATAAAAACAACTGGGGTTAGGCATTTTAATACAATCCAATCAAAAGAACCAGACTAATGAGTGAGGGTCCATGGAAATTCTGCCAGCTACCAACTGGCAGACAGAAGTTTTCTGAATCTAGCATATTTTTCCTCCTTGATTTTTAGCATTTCCTAATTACCATGGCGACTGCTCCCAGAACAATTCTCTCCTTTCCCTGCACTCCTCCATCCCACCTCCTTGTTGAGACATGAGCGGATCACTGAGTTAATCCTGTGAGGAGCCTTCCTAAGGTGCGGCCGGGGACAGGAAGTCCTCCTGCGCGCTCTCTGCACGCACTCGCAGCTCTGCATACTCACGTCGATCTCCCCGTCATCGATCTCTCCGTCGTCGTCGTCTTTTTTTTTCTCCTTGGCAGCCTCCAGGGGCTCCTTGTCTTCCACACTGTGGACACCTGCCTTCCCTTCCTCCCCAGGAGCTCCTTCTCCCTTCTCCTCGTCATCCTCGGCCCCAGCCTTCTCAGCCTCGTCCTCCTGCCCAGCAGGGGCTGGCTCTTCAGGGACCTCCTCGTCGTAGTCTAACTCATGCTCATCCAGTTCCCTGGTGACTGACGAGGCCTCGTCCCTCAGGTCACTTGTGCGGTCTTCCTCCCCACCATACCCCACCTCTGCACGCGGGGGGCTCGTCGGGCCCCTGCTCAGTTCCTGAGCCTCAGAGTCCTGGTCCTGGTCCTGGTCCTCCTCTTCCGAGCGACTCTCTTCCTCCTGGCTCAGTCCTGGGGCGGCATTTTCCTCATCCTCCAAATCAGAAGCCCTCGCCCCAGCTCCGTCCAAATCCTGATCAGACCCACTTTCCCTCAGAATGTCATCGTCCGAGAGCCCTTGCTGCTCCTCTTCTTCGTCTTCTGGAGAGCGAGGGTCCCGTTCAGGGCTCTCGGCCACATCCATCGGTACCCACAGTTCTGCAAAAGAAAGAGAACACGGAATCACAGCATTTAGCAAAATGGAAAGTGAATCTTGCCCTGGTTTTTCAGGCCCCACACTCATACCTACCTGCTGGGGCGGGGGGAGGGGAGAGATCAGGACCTGCATTTTGCTTCGACCTGCACTGCTCCTCCAAACCCCAGACCCTACTTCACAGACCACTGCTGTTGGCTGCAGCACCGCGGAGGACGGCAGACTGTCCCCACTAAGCTGTGTGCTGAGTTCCTCACATCTGCAGCAACTTGGCAGAAAGACACCTGGCGTACTCCTTCTTCTTACAAGTGCAACCCAAATGGTTAACAGAAAGTGAGTGATAAGATGTGCACTGCAAAGGACAGACAGCCTTCCGGATTCTTAGATTGCTGATGAAATTCAAGAAAATTTGCATTATGAAATAAGGCAGCCAAGTTGAAGGTATGTGTCTGACCATTTTTCTGGAGTCACCCTGAAGGGTCTGGAGCAGAACCCCAGCCCATCTGTAGGACTCCCCAAGTTGCAGGCTGTCTCCTGTTCCTGAACACACTTCTCCAAGTATGGCCCTGACTGCCTTATCAGAAGCACTTGGGATGATCCTGGGACCCACCACAGAGCTCTATGTTGGAACCGCCAATAAATGTCCAGAAGGAGCTCATGCGCTCTACGATTCTCACAGGAAAGTCAAGAACCACTGTTCTAACACAGGCATGTTGTGGAAAAGAACTCTGACGGAAAATTTTACATATTTAAGTACAATTGACCCTTGAACAACACGGGTTTGAACTGCGTAGGTCCACTTATGAGTGGATTTTTTTCAATTGGCCGATGTAGTTCAAACACACATTGTTCAAGGGTCAACTCTGTGGTTGGAAACCCGAGTATATAGAGGGCCGACTATAGTTACCCTTAGATTTTGAACTGCTTGGGAGGTCGGCACTCCTAATTCCCGAGATGTTCAAGGGTCAACTGTAGTTTCTTAGGTGAAAAGATTGATAGAGTCATTTTAGGTTTCATTTCTATTTTTACTGATCTACATTTAATTTCAAGTGAATATTTTCTGGTTTTCCCACCTCAATGTGCAAAGACAGTACACTGTTCCATTTGTTTTAAACATAGACTGCATAAGGTGAGGTAAGAGCGTGTGTGCATGAAGCAAGCCAACACCAGTCTATAAGCAAACACCATTCACCAATGCAAGGTGCAGCAAGTTACCACTGAGTTGGTTTGAAATAACAGGAATAGTGAAGGCTTCAACGTTCACTTAGTTCTTCAAATTTTTTTATTTAAAATAATGTATGTCATAGTCATACCGTTTGGGATCTCAGCTAGACCTGGAAACATACACACATACATTTACAAACCTTAAATATATAAAATTATTTTATGTACTTATATAAAGATTAGAAATCTTTTAAATTTATACTTTCAAAAGGAGAACCTGCGTTTAAAGATGCACATACCAAGAGATGGTGTCTGAACCTACAGTCAAAAACATTTTTTTTCGGCTGTTAATGGAAATGATTATAATTTGGCACACACTAGGACAAATCACTTAAAATTCATCACTTTATAAATAAACTAAATGGTTAGCAGTAATAGAAATTTATGAACCAATCAATTCAATCAAAGTCATTTAAGTAGACAGTTTTAAAAATGATCTACTGTTCAGTCTTCTAACCACACTATCCAGAGGTAAGACTATTGGAAATAATTATCAAAAAGTTAGTCTTAATATAGCATACTCTGCTGAACATGAAAAGTTGAGGTTCCTCCTTTGCATACAGCACTCCTACAGGCCACAGCAACAAGCAAGGATGAGAAATCTACCAAGGACAGGGGTGGTTGCTAAGGCCACTACATGGTCAACTCTTCTAGACACAGCATGGGGGCGGTTACAGCAATCAGCCAGGAACGAGTGACAAACTGGCAGCCTCCGTTTCTTAGTTAATGATATTAATAAAACACGTAAGATTTTCCCTTGTGTATACAGATACCCAATGCCTATCTTTGTACATTTTATTACATTGTATATAAGAAATCTTCTCCATAGACCAGCAGGGACTTTCATCTCCCCAGCTGCTTAAGCTAGCACCTGTTACTCTGTAGTCAGGCGGTCACACGGAACTGATTACTGAGCCTTATACATCACCACTTGAAACCAAACAAATTCCAATTCTCACATTTTACAGTGTAATGGTGACCTTGACACAAAGATACCTCTTAAATCAATCAACCAAAACTAAATGTCCTCTCAAACTAGCTTAAAAATCACACAACTGATACTCTGCAGAAAACACTCCCCACCCCAGCCTGTGATTAGCTTTGCAACATACTATCCTGTTCATAGCCACACAATCTCATAACTTGGTCACAGCCCTTTTCCAGGGCCCAGGTGCAAATTGGTTTTTGGTTTGGTTTCATTGTTATGATTAGATCCAATCAAATTGCTTTTTCTATTTTGGCAAACCTGAAATTAAATCCTAGAGTAAAAAATGGAAGAAAAGAGTGCCTAACTTCAAATAATCTGAACTACTGCAAGAAGTGGGCCAGTAACAGGACATTTACCTCTTGGTTCGCTGTATCTTTACGGGATACATGGGGTAGTGCAAACAGTGTGGGCTTCTGAGGCAGAACTTGAACCCCAGCTCTACTGCTTCTCAGCTTTAGGATCTTGGACAAATTATGTAAACTTGCCAGACCTCAGTTTCTTCATCTGAAATATGGGGACAACAGTATGTACTTTACAAGGTCACTACAACAATTAGATGAGTTGAGCCTGATAACGTGCCTGGTACATTCTCCACACATTTTAATTTAAACTGAATTAATGTGAAGGTGAGTAAAGGTAATCCTCAACTTCCAAAAACCATACTCCCTTCAACCCTGTCAGGTTCATTTCAAGTCTCTTGGTGCACTCAGGGGTAATTAATTCACTGTTTCATTCGACAAATGCCCTGAGAATCTATTTAATGCAAGACTATGTTATTAAAACAACTTCTGCAATAAAATCAACAGCCACCACTGTCCACTGAGAGACCACTACCCTGTGTCGTATCAGGCACTTGACCAATTTCCTTCCATCAACCTTCCAAATAAGTGATGTGTTCCCCTTCACAGATAAGGAAACCAAAGCCATATGGCCACTGAGTGACTATTCCAGGACTGCAACTCAAAGCTGAGCCTCGAACCTCGAGGGAGTGCTCAGTCCCAGAGCTCTGGACTATGCAGAAAATGAGTTTCTGCTTCCTGCCTAGGAACTAATCCCCCCTTTTTGCCATTGTTCCTATAGGAAAGTGGGACTCAACTTCCAAAGCGATTTTATAAATTCCTTTTTGGAACACAGCCCACCCATAAACTGGGGACTTCTAGTGCACCAGCAGATATGCCTGTTTTTATTCTCCCTTCTCAAGTTTTGTGCTGATCTAGCTATACTCCTATCTTAGCCCTTCGAGAGCCAAAACCATACCTTTTCATATAAATGGAAATGCTAATATACGGTTTATAAAGACTACTAGTTGAAAAATAGTGATGAGCATATGGAGATCCAACTTGTGACACCATTTATTTTATGATTTTAAACTTGTGTGCAGTTTGAATCTTAGGTACTTAAAGAGGAATGCCCGCCAGTTTGAATATGGAAATTAGTTTGACATTCTAAGAAGGCAAAGGTAACTTTCCAACTCTTAAAGGTAGTTTTCAGCGCTGACCAAAGATGGTAAAGTCTAAGGTCTTGAGTGCACCTACTACTGTCAGGGGCAGCCCAGTGCTCTGTTGGTGATATTTAGCCTTTTGGGGAGCAAGGATTGCTTTGAGAATCTGATGAAGGGGATGTCTCCCCTCCCTAGAAAAATCTGGACACACACAATTTATCTTCCACTTTGGGGAGTTCAAAACCTCCTGAGGTCCATCCATGGTCCCCAGATTAAGAACTCTTGTTCTAATTACATCATACATTATTCTATTATGTATCCATATTTACCACATTGTACTGAGACTACTTGTTTGCAAAGTCTGTTGGGAAGTTCCCCTGCCCCTTATGAAGTTCCTGAGTAGAAGGTCTCAAACTCACCTCTGTGTTCCCTAGGCTCAGCAAATGGCTGGCACTTAGTAGCAGACCTCTCATGTAATTTACTGTCTAAACTGGGACGTGTTTTGAGACTGAAAGGGGGCACTGTTAACAATGACAATAGGCATGAACAGGGGCTATCCACAGCTCATGGGGACATCCGGTTACCTAGGAGGCCCTGTCAATCTCTTGAGGAAAGGAGTCACATCTCTTCTTTCCTCGGAATTTACAATCTGAGGCTGTTCACAAGTGAACACTTTGCAGACGGAAACATGCCAAAGAATTTTCATTAGAAGCAACCCAAGTCACACCTTGCTATACAGAAGAGGAAGAGTGTTGCTGGAGAATCAGAAGGTGGCTTGTGTTCCAGGTCGCGCTCTGGGCAGGTTAACTGTCTCTCTAGATGTCTGTGTCCTAAATTAATTTGAAATTAACTCAATTTGGCAAATATCTGAGTGTGTGCTCTATGTCCAGTGGTAGGAAAAACATGTTAAGTGTAGACAAGGAAATAGAGGATCCTCTACTCTGGTCATGTCTTCACTAACTCCCAGGTGTACAGATTTTATTATTTGTTCTTCTCACACAATTACCCTGTAATTGAGGATTTTTGGCAAAGTTTAGAACTAATTCTTTAGTGCTTTGATCCATAAGATGATGAAGGTGCCCAGCGAATTGCATAACAACTATCCATCACTCACTGTTTCTGCATTGCCTACTGCATCTGGCAGATGGTGACTGATAAATGTTTGTTGAATCAACATCTCATTACCTGATAAACTACCTGTTGCACACCAGAAAGAAATTTGAAAGAAGTGCCTAATTTTTAGAAGACTATACCAGAACTCAAGCATAAAGTGGGAGCTGTCTCATTTCCCAGCAGTCACTCTGGAAGGCTGCACACTGATTCCAATGGCACTGCTAAAGCACAGAACATTTTGGGAACTACCATTTGGAGTGAACTTTAGAACCTGCAGAACACTCTCTTGGCGCTCTCAGTAGCAACACATCTTTCTCTTCTCAAGTTGGGTCATTTTGAGAAACCACAGGAAGCCATTCAAAGCCTGGACTGGTAAGTGAGGTAAGTTACCAAGCCAGGTAAGGCAATTTTTGGTCAAACATGGGGTGTGATTATTGAATGAGACTGATTGTCTCACATGGCTTATGCATTTACTACCAAAACATGAGTTCTCAAGAGGTTTTTGGCAAAGGAGCACCAATGAAACACAAGGATAACTTCTTGGGATAACAGCTTTAAATAGAGCAGCCCCTATTTGAATGCCTAAGTTCTGGTACATCTGGTTAAAATTCTGATTCATGACTTCATGTACTTACAGCATCTAAAGGGAAGATGTTGAGCTTGGTGACAAGCTACCCCCAAACTGACTAAGCTTGACAGCCAAAAAACTCAGGGAGGAATCACTCACCTTGAGATGACGTGTAGCTGTGAAAAGGTAAAAAAAAAAAACAAAAAACAAAACCTACTTTAAATGTGAGCAAGGCCACAGTTTACCTGTTTGCTCTCTGGAATGATTCCACAAAGCTTTCTTACAACGTTTGAGCATTTCCCACCCAGAACTGGAGAGGCATTCCAGCCTCTGGGACACATCTGATTAGCTTCCAGACCTGGCTGGGTTCCACATGTCTCCGATTGTAAAATGAGCAGACAAAGACTCACCTCCCAGGGCTTGGAAGTGGGAATCAGCCTGGGTCCAGTCTCACCCTGAGAATCCCAACCTCTGCTCTGGGCAAGGACCAGTCCATGGGATATACGATGGAGGCGAGACTCAAGGGAGAAAGGAGAGCCACTGCTATGCCCCTGAACAGTGCTTCAGATGTCAAACACCCTCTTCTTCCATCTCCCCCAAATGGATCTGAAGACTGACCTATTCTTGCAATTGAGTTTGCTGGCATTCAAAATGATCAACCACTCTACCCAGCAAACTCAGTTGTCATAAAGTAGCCAGGAAGACTTAAGAAGTTTTAGCAGGAGCAAGACTGGAAGTCTCAAAGTCTTAGGTTCTTCCAGCATCATAACTCCAGTTAAGTTTATACCAAGGATTCAGCGTTCTCTGGGCTCCTATCCAAAGGGGCAAGGAAATGACATATTTCTAAGAAAGTGGCGCGCGTCTCAAGGCACAGCCTATACCTTCCACCTGTGCACACTGCGGGAGCGGAGAGCAAGTTCCAGGAGGCTCCAGGGAGCTCCAAGTTCCCGAAGAGCTCATCCCCAGTCCAGGCTGGCAGCCTCAGGAGGGCGAACTTGCGTGCCTGCTCCCACATTTGTGGGCGGCAAACATGTGCCCCCAAATGTCCCGGAAGAGAAATGACAGCTTCAGGAGAATCAACTCCACCGCGGGGCGCGGAGGCAGCCGCGGGGAGCTCGGGATCTGAGGGGTTCCAGGACCCCCAGGACCGGCTCGCGCGGACGGAACGCGGGATCTTGTCTATCTCAGCGTCCCCTTCCTGCGGTCCAAGAGCCATGCTTCGGCCGGAGGCGCAGCCCGGAGCACTCCCCGGAGGCGGCAGTGGCGAGCTCCCCGGCCTGGGCTCCGCGCCGCCGCCACGCTCCCCTCCTGGCCGCCTCGGCCTCCTCACCGCCGGCCCAGATGCCCCGCCGCCGCCACCGCTTACCTCAGCGCGAGGGCGGGGAGGGGGCCACGGTTCCGCTGGGGTCCGGGCGGCGCAGGGAAGACGTCCCTCGGCCCTTCCGCTCCTTACAGGCTCCGGGTTGAGGCGCGACGCGGGCGGAACAAACGGGCTCCACTACCCCCGGGGGCCGGCCATTGTGCTACGTCATCAAGCCGCGACCGTCCTGCGGACCGGCGGGCTTCCCTCGCTTGCTCCGCCTTCTGCCGCTTCCTTCCGGCCTCCGCGCGCTCCCGCCGGTGCGCGGCGCGCGCCCGAGCCCGCTAGGGCGCAGGCGCAGCCAGAGGCCCTTCCCCACTGGGTGTTCTGAGACCGAGTGCGGCTGGCGGTGTGACGGCGCCTGAGGAGAGGGCTTTTGGCGCCAGGCGGTCAAGTGACGCCCCGGGCTCAGGGTTCCCGCCTTGTGTTCTCGGTGGGGAGCTCCGCCCTTCGCAGTGATGGGTGGTTTCGCCATCGCAACTTTCAATTTTAACTTCCGTTAAACTAAAAAATTCCCGTTTTAGTAAACGTTAGCACCCAATAAAAAAAATTAATATTTTTTGAGATACTGAGTTTAAATATCAAAGCCTGAACGTTTGTAACTATTTCCGTGGAACGCAATAGCTCCTCTATTAAATGCAGTCAGCTCAACACAAAATTAATCATTTTTGAGCTATTGCGTTTAGGTATAAAAACTTGAAATTTTTAACTATTCCTGCTTTCTTAAAAATAATCAGCTGAGAACCCTTCTGTACTGCTGGTGGGAATGTAAACCGGTATAGCCACTATGGAAACCAGTACGGAGATTCCTTAAAAAATTAAGACTAGAACTACCATGTGATCCAGCAATTCCATTTCTGGGTATTTACATGAGGAATATGAAAACACTAATTTGAAAAGATATCTGCACTCCCGTGTTTATTGCGGCATTATTGTAAATGATGATATGGAAGCAACTTGTATCAGGATAGATGAATGGATAAAGAACGAGGTATACGCGTATATATTCAATGGAATATTATTCAGCCATAAGAAATGTGAAATCCTACTATTTGTGACAACACAGATGGATGGACCTTGAGAGAATTATGCTAAGTGAAATAAGTCAGAGAAAGACAAATACCATATGATTTCACTTATGTGCAATATAAAACAAAAACAAAACAAACAAACAAAAAACCAGACAAAACAAAAGCAAACTCATAATGACAGACAACAGATCTGTGGTTACCAGAGGGGAAGAGGGTGAAGGGAAGGCGGAACAGGTAAAAGGGTCAATTGCATGGTGACAGATGGAAACTAGACTTTGGTGGTGAGCAGGTTGCAGTATATTCTGATGTTAAATTGTGATGTGGTGCATCTGAAACATAATATTAATAAACCAATGTTACCTCAATGAAATAATTAAATCAGCTCAAAACAAAAACTAATCATTTTTGAGATAGTTTAAATATCAAAGACTAAACATTTTTTGGTATCTTTATTATTCATTGCTGTGTAACAAATTATCCAAACATTTGGTGGCTTAAAACAATTTTTCTTTTATTCTCATAATTTCTGTAGGTCAAGAATCAGGGAGGGCATGGCTTAGCTGATCCTCTGCTTCGAGGTTTCTTTCAGGGTAAGAGTAAAAATTTAAAACTGTTTCTGTGGGACTAAATAGCTTCCACTCTATTAAATATAAACAGTTCAACACAAAGTTAATCATTTTTGAGACATGGAGTTTAAATATTAAAGATTAAAAATTTTAAACTATTTCCATCAGACTAAATAGCTCCGCATCTTTTAAATGTGATGAGCTTACCAGTGTAACTTTTTCATGATCAGGACATTGTGTGGTATTTGGGGTATTTTTACATCTTATCAACTGCCTTCAGGGCAGCCTGCTGAGGATCAAACTGCTCTCTCCATTTAGAGACAAGGCGCTCACATTTAGAAGGCTACTGGGCTTGGTTGAATGCCCTGCTGTTCCTGCCTTCAAACTCTTAATCATTTTTGAACAAGGGGCCCAGGTTTTAATTTTGCACTGGACCCTGCAAATTATGTAGGTGGTCCTGGCGGTAACTAAGGGTTTTGGGGGATAGAGAGCAAAGCAGGCCTTTCTCCTCCAGAAACACTGCTCCTCCTTGGAGCCGACTGCCACCATTCTGCCCACAATATGAATGTCTGGCCCACAGTGAAGTTGAATGAACTCAGATGTTTGCCTTATGTTATCTGAATGAATGAATAAATGAATGAGCAGGAGAAGAAATGAAGGCATTAACGTAGAGTTACCGTAGGACCCAGCAATGCCACTCCCAGGTATCTAACCCAAGATAAATGAAACATACATGCACTAAAAACCTTTACACATTGTTCATAGTAGCATCATTCACAATAGCCCCAAAGTGGAAACAACCTAGATGTCTATCAACTGATGATGGAGAAATAAAATGTGGTCTGTGCATACAATGGAATATTATTCAGCCATATAAAGAAATGAAGTCCCCTCTCCCTCTGTCTCTCTCTCCCAACCCCCATCACATGAGGATATATAAGTAGGTGGCATCTGCAAGCTGGGAAGGGGGCTCTCACCAGGACCCAATCACGCCAGCATCCTGATCTTGGACTTCCAGTTTCCAGAACTGTGAGAAAATAAATTTCTGTTCTTTAAAGCCCCCAGCCTATGGTTTTATTATGGCAGCCTGAGCTGACTTACATATTTCATTTACATGAAATGTCCAGCAGAGGCAAATCCACAGAGTCAGAAATTAGATTAGTGGTTACCAGGGCAGAAGGAGGGGAAATAGGGAGTAACAGCTAAATGGGGACAAAGTTCCTTTTATGAAAATATTCTGAAATCAGGCAGTGGTGATGGTTGTACAACTTTGTGAATATACTGAAAACCACTGACTTGCGCATTTTATTTTTTATTTTTTTTTAAGCTGAGTCATCCTGCACCTGTTGGCAGCTCAGCGGCTGCTCAGCTCGGGCCAGGAATTGAACTGCTGTTGCTCAGAGCTCAAATTCTTGAGCGAGCTCTTAACCAACTGAGCCACTCGGCCGGCCCTGACTTGTGCATTTTAAAAGGGTGAATTGTATGGCATTTGAATTATACCTTAATAAAGCTGTTATTTTTTTAAGAAGAAAAGAAATGGAGGCAGACAGGAGAGAAGGGGAGAAAATGAAGGGTGAGAGCTGAGAGGAGGTGAGGCTGAAAAAGAGGAAAGGGCTGGGAGAGGTGGGGAGAGGGAAATGGGGCAGGACTCCTGTCTATGACTCTACCTCCTAGCTGACTCTTGAATTGTCTTCCCTTTTCTCCATCCTCCTTAACTCTGATTCCAGCCACCATCACCACCTGCCAGGATTAATGCCACAGCTCCAGCCCATCCCCCGGTTCCCTGCTCTGTCACTGCCCCCTGACCCCCATCTTCCCCCAGATACTCGGAGCCACCTTTCTATAATCTCGGGTTGGTTCCAGTCTCACCACTCCAGCCTGAGGCCCCTCCAGCGGCTCCCTCTGCACCCAGATGAAACCCAAACACCAAAGCCTGATGTGCCTGCTCTTTATAATCTGGTCCCGTCAGCCCGGCCTGCCAGCCCTCATGCTCCATCCTGGCCCTCAAACTCGCTCCACACTTTTCTTTGCCCCCAGTTCTTTGCACATGGCACTCGTGCTGCCCAGGACACCGTTCCCTCTCATCTAGCTAACTTTGAATCATTCTTCAGGTTTCCCCTGGATGCACCACCTACCAGAGTGCTTATCTATTTCCACAGCTGGGCACAAGCGCCTGGAGGACAGGACTGCAGTGATTACCCTGTAACCTCGG